CAAAAACATCAGATCAAAACAGCTGAGGGTGTAGGAAAATCTAAAAGTGTAGTTCATTTTATAATACTGTATGTAAGGTTGAATTTTTTATACATAACAAGGACCATCAAAAGTAAGGCTTGAGAGATACTTTTGTTTAATAAGACTATATTGGGGGTAAATTTAGCAAGAAGACAAAACAGGCATTTTTGAGGTCTAAAGCTTCCTTGACTCGACACCTTCCTGTATGCCTACACAGGAAGCACTTTACCTTCTGAGCTGTCTCTACTTTTCTTTTAAGGCTCATAGATACTGGACAAGTGGCGTCTACTCAAGGTCAGTCACCAAAACCACACAATGACCTTCAAAGTGTCTCAATAGAATGCCCAGGTCCACACTTGACTTTGCCTTCATTTTTTTCTGTTTCCCATTAGTCACTGGGGCAGGGTTGCTCACGAAGGGGTGCAGATATTCATATTATTGATGTCTTTCACCATCCTATTTGAAAACTACATCTATCTATCCCATCAGCTCGAAGAATGCGGCAGTCTGGAAGGATTTCCCAGACCGCCCACCATTCCTGGAGCGCGTCCGTTTCATCCCGGGCAGCAGTGTGTTCCTTGAAGTGACATGCTAGCTTTGTACTCTCTCCCTCTCTCCTCCCCTCTCATCTTTTAGTAGTTATATGAGAATGTTGTGCAATGTGATTTCATCATGCTCACTCCCTCCCCCATCTCCTCTCAGTTCCACTCCCTCCTTCTTTACCAGGACTTTGTGTCGTCTTGAAAAAAAAAAAAGCCATCAAGTCCAGTTTGTGCTGCCAATGTACTCTCTGATCTGTGTCCTTCCACTAAAGTGGGCTAGACCCTCCACGGCCACCCCTTTAGACTGAGCTAACTCTTCTGCTCTTGACAGCAGCTGCACTAGCTCCTGAGCCGGGGTAGACTCCCCGCCACCTCCTCTCTCCATGCTGGGATTTTGTCTGGCTTGAGCTTTCTCATACTATCACAATTGATGTTAAGTTCCTACTTACATCTGCCCTGGTGAGTCCAGAAAACCCTTTTGTTGTAACCATCCACCACCGCTAGCTCCCTTGATCTTTCTGTCTCTTCTTCCACAATGATCCTTGAGCCTTGGAAGGAGGGGTGTTATATAAATGTTCCATTTAGAGCAGAGAATTCAGCTATCTTTTAGTCTCTGTACCTTGATCAGTTGTAGGTCTCTTGTATTAGTCATCTACTGCAAATAAAAGCTTCTCGGAAAAGGGTTGGAAGATACATTAATCTGTGGACATAACAATAAGTGAGTAGAAGTCAATTTAATACCTTGTCCATTTAGTAGAATAGTAGTCGGTTCTTCCCTAAGGTCCACAATTTGTCTAGCTATGGGCTCCTGTTTTGGTAATAGTACCAGACATGGGTTTCTTCTTTTAAGCCGTTCTTAAATCCAAGCAGAGAATGGTTGGTTACTCCCATGATGTTCTTGCCATTATTATAGTAGTGGGTGTGTCTTGCTAGGTCAATCATTATTTTAGCTCACAGGGCTCATAGCTGGGTAGAACTGATGATTAGTTTTCTTCTCTGATAGCATACCTAGCACCTTAGAATGCTATGACAGCTGGCCAGCAGAGATGAAGCTTCCAGGTGTGTACCAGCTTGATTTTGCCATGTTCTATGACTCAAGCATGCAGTTTCTTCTGCAATAGAGTTTTGCCACCAAGTTCTGGAGCACTGGCAGTAACCTATAATGTTTCTGGGTCAATAGGACCTTGTTGGTAAAGAACTGCGGTAGTACATATTCTTAGAAGTTCTTATTAATAAAAACAGACCCGGAGCCATGTACTGGGGTCAACACTGGAAGATCAGAGAAGCAGAACAAGCCACAGCTTCCTCACCTTGCCAATTCCTCAGCTGATCCTGTTTTCTCAGACTGGAAGCCTCTGAGTCCTCATCCAAATGGATCTCAGCTGAACTGCTCCTCAAAAGCCTAAAAACTTAACCAGCGATAGTTCCTGGTCCTCACACCTATATACCTTTCTGCTTTCTGCCATCACTTCCTGGGATTAAAGGCGTGAGTCACCATGCCTGGGTGTTTCCAGTGTGGCCTTGAACTCACAGAGATCCAGGCGGATCGCTGCCTCTGGAGTGCTAGGATTAAAGGCGTGTGTGCCTTTATTTTCTGGCCTCTATATCTAGTGGCTGTTCTGTTCTCTGAGCCCAGATAAGTTTATTAGGGTACACAATATTTTGGGGAACACAATACTACCACAAACTGCAAAACAGATAACCCATTCCTGGCATTGGGGTTTTTATTTAGGCCTGCAGGGTAGAGTACAGTAGCTTCATTTAAACATTTTTTTAATGTATGTATGTATGTATGTATTTGAGAAGCTCCTATGATAATAGGTTTCCATATGACTCTTTAAAATTTCTTTGGTTGTTATCCCTTTTGTATTTTCTCTATCCCAAATTCCCATGCCCTACCCTGGTTTAACCCTTCCTGTTCAATGGAATTCCTCTTTAAACCTTATACCACTTCATTCTATCTCCCCTCTCTTGAAAGCCCCCATCCCCATGTCTTGTTATTAATTTCCTGTTCTAAATGGAATGCACATATCTGGAGATTCAAAGCTAACATCAACAAATGCAACATTCAACATTTGTCTTTCTGGTCTGGGTTGCCTCACTCTGGATGACTATTCCAGCTCCATCCATTCACTTGTAAACTTCATAATTCCATTTTTCTTAACAGTAGAATAACACTCCATTTTCATTATTCATTCATCAGTTGATGAACATCTAGAGTGTTTCCATTTCAGGGTTTTTGTGACTAGGGTAATATAGATGAGCAGGTATTTCTATAGAAAGATATAGAGTCCTTTAGGCATATGCCCAAGAGTGATATGACCAGATCACATGGTAGATATATTTCTAGCTTTCTGAAGAATCTTCACACCAACTTCTACTGCTAACTAACCAGCTACTTGGAAATTTTGTCCTACCCCAGTCAGAATGGATAAGCTTTTTAAAAAGAAGGATATAAATGCTGGAGTGGATTTGGAGGAAAGTAACACTTATTTCTTTTGTTTCTATATCTGCCAAATAGCTAAGTCCAAGTGACTATAATTCATTCACCTCTCAATGGTTCTCTCAAGCAGAAATGATGTTCTAATGGAAACTGGCTAACTGGGCTCCTAAGGGCGTGGCATCAGTGCCTGTCCTGAGGGTGACCGTCACTGTGGCACCAGTGCCTGTCCTGAGGGTGACCGTCACTGTGGCATCAGTGCCCTCAGAACTGCTGTAGACACACTTTATTGCCGTAAGGGGCTCTTGAAAGAATGGCTTCCCTTTGCTTAAATCCATGCCATTTCCTTGGCCCTAGACTTGCCTTGAAGAGCTTCTCATTTCTCCTGTGACATTTATGACTTACCCTGGACTCTAACAAACTGTGACATCACTTGAATAATGTAAGGGCTACCATTTGTTGCCTCTCTCTTTTCTGGATTGAATCTAGAAAGCATTGGGGAGCAGCAATTTCTCAACTTTGAGGAACAAGAGGCAGGTGGTTAAAAGATAAGACTCAAGAGCCTGCGTGCATTTTTCCCCTCCTCAAATTATTCTGATACAGACAGACAGCCCTGGCTGCATAGATAGTTTGGATAACACTAGGTATTATTCACTAATGAGGAACCCTAGATGTTCTAAGGTAGTATCAATTAAGTCAATGGACTTTAACTGTGG